GCCGTTACGCAGCGCCCTCTGGAGACCGTTTCCCTCAGTGCTGGCGCCGCCGCCCTCGGCCGGCGCCTCTGTGCCCCGGGCCGGGGGCTCCGCGCCCGCAGGCCGTCAGGGCTCAGCCCTGCAGCTGCTGTCCCGCGCCACGGCCACTGGTTGGGGCTCGGCTCCTTCCCGCGCTGGGCTCTTTCTGGGCCACGCCTTCCATCGCTGCCCCGAGGCTTTGCCGTGCTGTCGTCGCGCAGCAGCATGAAGAGGTTCTTCAGCAAGAGGCAGAGGCAGCCGCCATTTGGCAGCACTTCCCTGCCCTTCGTCGCCGCTGCCAGCGAGATCCAGGAGAAGGAAGTGAGCAGACTGCACTGTGCAGCTGCCAGCGGCGACCTGGCCCAGGTGCAGCGGCAGCGATGGCTGCTGAGACTAAGCATCAACAGGCAGGACAAGGAGAAGCAGACCCCTCTGCATCTTGCTTGTGCTAACGGGCATTCGGAGGTTGTTACCTATTTAATAGAAAACAAATGCAAACTAAATCCTTGTGACGGTTTCAAGAGATCACCACTGATGAAGGCAGTACAGTGCCAGCAAGAGCAATGTGTTGCCATTCTGCTAGCGCATGGTGCTGACCATAGTCTTGCAGATGCTAATGGCAACACTGCCCTTCACCTCGCTGCGAGAGCTCCTAACACCTCTCTAGCAGGTCAGTTACTCGAGCACAATGCCCATATTGAGGCACAGAATAAGATGGGATATACACCCCTTTCTCTTGCCGTATCTGAACATCACAAAGAAATGGTGGAGTTCCTGCTTCAAAAGGGAGCTGATGTGCATGCTCGCGATCCAGGTGAAAGGACCCCTCTAATGCTTGCTGCCTCTGCTGGGGACATGAGTGTAATAGAAGTTCTTCTTCAATATGGTGCTGATCTTTCCCAGAAAGACAGTCTTGGATGGACAGCTGAGGATTATGCTAGGACTTATGGACATGATCGTATTACTAAACAACTGGCAGACTATGCAGATGGGGAAGATGCAGGAGAAGCTTCTGCAAGCAGGGCAAAAGGCATGCCAGTGCTTAGCAGTCCTCCCAGGGCAGGATCTGCTAGCTTTGCATTAGGTGCACCTGCTCTGGACGGAGAAACAAGGAATGACTTTTCCCATGAATGCTTCATAGGAATGTGTGAGGAAGAAGAGAGTGATGAGAGCTGTCCTGCTTCTGAGAAGGAAAAACTCAGTTTAACTGCCAAGGACGAATCACCTGAAAGGGAGGGAAAGGAGGCTACTGATGGTTCTCAAGTCCCATATGATGCAGAAGACCCTGCTGGTGTGAGAGATGTTACACTGGCAGCAGCAGTGGACCAGAAGGAAGACCCAAGAGATTCTAAGAGCCTGCATTCCTTGCCTGCATGCCTGAGTCCAGAAGCAGCAGTGAAAGTTGAGGTGTCTGAAGACAAGAGAGAAAAGTTCGAAGGACACGAGGCTGCCACAACACAAACAGATTTTCAGTACGACGGACAGGCTGTAGCTGGACAGCTGCAGGAGGAGGTTGCTAATGCTCTTGAAAAACAGTTGATTCCAGAAGGTTCACTTGAAGTTGCAAAGCTTTACTGCAATGAACTGAAAGAAGACAGATTGCGGTTACAAGAGGAATTGGACAGGGTTAAAGCCCAGTTGCAGGAGTCAGAAGAAAAGCATATACAATCTGAGCAATGTGTTCAGGATTTGAAGACAACCCTGGAAAATAAGCAAAGAGAAACAATAGCTTCTTCGCAGAAACTGCAAGACCTTCTGAAAGCCTCTTTAGGAGCTGTTAATTTAAAACAACTGGAAGAACGAGTGGGACGACTTGAACTTGAAAATACCAGACTGGAAGGCACAGCCCAACAACAGACCCGTAGAATCAAAGTTCTTCAGAAAGACCTGCAAGCCTCTTGCTCCCTGCAAGTTCATAGTCGCCTGGAGGACTTGATCACTGGCTTACGGACAAAAAACGTGCCTTCAGAGAAATACCAAAATCAGCACTGTAAGAGCAAAAGAAAGCCATGGAAGACCCTGGCAGAATGGACACAACCAACGGAAGCCCGTCTGGAGCAAGAAATGGTAAGAAACACTGAACTGCAGAAAGAATGCAACAGGTCCAAGAGGCTTCTGGAAAAGGCTATGAAGAAACTGAGGGTGTATGAGAGGCGAGAGAGTGAATCCCAGTTGAATTTCCAGGGCAAAATGGAGGATACGTGTTCTGGAACGGACAGTGAAGTTGATAGATTAAGAACGAGGGTCCATGAACTTTCACGCTGGCTAGAGGCAGAGCGGAGAACCTCAAGGCAGCTAGAAAAAACGAACAAAAGTTTGCAACAAGAGTTGGTTTTGATGCATGGGAGCTTGGAAAAACTGCGGAAGAGAAAGCGGCAGCTGGAAGAAGAGGAGGTTTTCCTCAGGTGTCAGTTAAACGTCAAGATGATGGATCACAGCCAGAGAGAACAATATAAAAGGGAGAGTGAACAAAGGGCTGGGCAAGAGCTACGGCAAAAACTACAGGAAGTCAATCTATTTCTGCAGACACAGGCAGCCATCCACGGCAGACTAGAACAAGTAAGAGCCAGTACTCAAGCTTCCGTGGTAGACCAACTGCAGCAGAGAATTAGAGATTTAGAATTGGAATTGGCTTTCAGAAAACAGGTGCACTGAGACAGAGCTAATGAGGGGCTAGCGGAAGCCAGGACTGCACACCTTCGTGAGTGCTGCAGAAGCCGCTCTTTCGTAGCGAACCCAGTGGGCCATGCTTCCTCTGTGAGAGACTGGAAGCTCATATGACTGAGGTGCAGTGAGAATGTTCAAAAATATCACTGAAGAACTTGAGCAGGTCACTGCTGAACTGAAAACTGAATCTGTTGGAGCTTCTCCCTGGGCATCTACTGAAGGATCTTCAGCAAACGTAGACCAGGACCCAGTTTCCAGGGCGATACAGGAGTACTGCGATGTTTTGATCAAAAATGATATGATTTGATTTAAATAAAAGTACTAGGGAGTGTCTATGCAAAATTATTTTGCTTACATAGCCTGCCAGTGGTTTCCCATCCCACAGTGCAAACGTGAGAAATCCTTACCCCTAGAAAGAGTGATCTGAAGCTGCTTGCAACATGATAGCCAAGCTCTTTGTGACTGCTAGTGGCTGATGATGTGGCGTCTGTAACCCTGGTGAAAGGCAGTGCTGTGGGACCTTTGCATCAGTAACACAGGCAGTTTGACTTACCTTGGGGAGTTATCTGCCATTATGGGAGAGCGTTGTTTGTCATTTCATGTCCATAGAAGTTGATAGCGATCAGAAGATGCTAGAGCAGAGGAAGTCCCCGTTCCAGAAAGTTAAGAGTGATTATACTGAGACAAATGAAGACTAACAAAATATGCCTGCTACCTGCTGAGAGGCTTGCATTACCAGGCAGTGAGTAAAAGCAGCCATTGCTACCATTTTTTGTGGGAATATAGCAATGGTGTGTAGATAATAATATGCTGTATTTAACTGAAAATATTCTAGATTTTTTTCATTTAAAAATTTAGTTCAAAATCTAGTCTCTGGATGAAGAGACAGAGTACATCCTCAGCAGGTTTACTGATGATACAAAACTGGGAAGAGTGGCTGATACACCAGAGTGGCTGATACATTCAGAGGGACCTTGATAGGCTGGAGATACGGGCAGAGGAGAACCTCATGAAGTTCAATAAAGGGAAGCGCAGAGTCCTGCACCTAGGGAGAAATAACCCCATGAATCAATACAGGCTGAGGGCTAACCTGCTGGAAGGTAGCCCTGCAGAGAAGGACCTGGGAGTCCTGGTGGACGACAAGTTGACCATAAGCCGGCAATGTGCCCTTGTGGCCAAGAAGGCCAATGGTATCCTGGGGTGTATTAGGCAGAGTGTTGCTAGCAGGTCGAGGGAGGTGATCCTCCCCCTCCAGTCAGCCCTGATGAGGCCACACCTGCAGTACTGAGGGCTCCCTAGTATGAGATATGATCTGCTGAAGTGAGTCCAGCGAAGGGCTACTAAGATGAGGAAGGGCCTGGAGCATCTCTCCTGTGAGGAAAGGCTGAGGGAGCTGGGCCTGTTCAGCCTGAAGAAGAGAAAACTGACGGAGGATCTTACCAATATTTTAAAATATCTGAAAGAAGAGTGTAAAGAGGATGGGGCTAGACTTTTTCCAGTGGTCTCCGGTGACGGGATGAGAGGCAGTGGGCATAAACGGAAACACAGGCAGTTCCGTCTGAACATGAGGAAAAGCTTTACTGTGAGCGTAACAGAGCACTGGAACAGGTTGCCCAGAGAGGTGATGGAGTTTCAAAAAATGTCTGGACACAGTCTTGAGCAACACGCTCTAGATGATGCTGCTTGAGCAGGGGGGTCGGACTGGATGATCTCCAGAGGTCCCTTCCAACCTCAACCTCTCTGTGATTCTGTGATTTAAAAATAAGTGAAGCTTATGAGCCAGAATCTGTTAGAAGAACATAGTTCCAGAGATTTATCTTTTAACATCTCAGAGAACTTCCTGATTTTCCAACCCTAGGTTTTATCTAGAAGAGATGTGTGGCAATTTATGTTTGGTGTTAAGAATGAATTGTTAGCTTGGGCATCTGAGGGAGTTTCAGTCACAACATACCACAAGCTACTTAGGAAAGGCTACCACTATTCTAAAGATGCATGACATGAGTTTTTGTATCCTGATGCTTAACTCAGTCGTGCATGGGGAGGTAAGCTGCTGAATCTCTTAGCATGGTCATGTTTAAATGACAGTGACAGAGATTTTGTGAAATTCGGTTGTTTCATTTCATAGAGGGTTATGGCATCTGGTGTTAGCACTTTGTCCCTTCTCAACTGAAGAATTGCCAGAAAGTTTTATTTGATTTACCAGTTCTTTCATATTAGTTAATAGGTTTCCAAAGAGATGAACGGCAGTTGATGTCCTATCTTCCAATGAAACTCAATGCCAGCCCACTCCTGGTCTTTCATTTGTGCTATTGAAAATACACTCCTAGATGCAAAAAAAAAAAAAACCACTAGTGTTAGAAACCTGAGTGAAATGAAAACAATTAGGTTATATAGTATCCTGATTCTGTAGCAATGCAAAGTCTGCATTTATCCTGAACCTTTTTACTGAAGGATCCAAAAGTATGATAGAAACATGGCAACTTTAGTCCTCCTAGCCTTGAAGTATGACCTGTTATAATTGTTCATCCCGTGAGAAACTGAGGCAGAGACAGACTGAAGTAATCTGGATTCACAAAGTCAGGAAGGATCCTGGCAATTTTGATAATCAAAGGCTACAGAGATAATGTGGAGAGAGGTCCCAAGTAGGTGAAGGGGAGAGACAGCTACCTAATTACTTTCACAGATCCTCATTTAAATCACTTATTATAATTGTTCCTAGACCCCCAGAAGTCATCAGAACTGTATTCAGTTGGAAGATGTCGTTACTGTGAACAAACAGAGTAAAGACCCTGTCTCACAGAGCTTGCAGTCTAAATCACTGGTTCCTGATGTTGAAATGTGGCTCACTGACATTAAAAGTGAGTTGCAGAATCTAAGCTAATAAGCTTTACTGTCCTTAATAACGCTACCTCCTCAAGGAAGCAGAATCACCAGCCCCATAAGTGCGAGTTGAGGAGGTAGTGTTGCAAGGAAAGCAGGTTTGGGGAGCAGCAAGAAGTCAGGGAAAGGAGGAGGAGGAGGAAAAGACAGAAGTAGGGAGGTCCAACTTAAGAAGAAAGTGGAGAACAACATGTCCAAATGCACAAACAGCTGAGGAGTGGGAGGGGAAACAGAGGGAAGGAACTGAGTACAACTACATGATCACTAACAATGTTTTGCCAGTGAAGAAGTCACTACCACCCTGTTGAGACATAGCAGGCAGCTAGCCATGCTATTAATGCACAGTAGTCACCACATAAAAGGTCTGAGCTGAAGGCACCTGAACAACTCAGTCATGACTTGAAACATAATGTAGTGACTTGTTAGCTCATGACCACATGGTCAACCCTCAGAAAGAAGAAAATAGCAGGTAATAAAAGACTTCAATCTGAGGGAGAAAACGTAGCAAGAAATTAAAATCAGACAAATGGAGATTTTTTTCAACAGTGAGGATGACTGGCTATTGGAAAGGAAGTGGAATATTTTCTGTCTGTTACTTCCTTCAGAAAAGAGTGGAGAACTCTTTTGCAAGATAAATTTCAATTTAAAAAAGCATTATACTTAATAAGGAGGTAAGGGGGAAATTCTGTTGCTGTGCAATGTAGAAGGTCAGACAAAAGCAGTGATGGAGAACTGTTGGCATTGGTGCTTCCTCTGGCACTGATGGAGATCTGGGCTGACCCCAGCTGGTCTGCACTACAATGTTTTATTAAGTAAATTTGGCACCGGGGCACCTGAAAGATTTGCTGTTGTTGGACTTAAAGGATCTAGAGGTCTTCAGAATTTCTGAATGAATGCACTTACTTTCTGGAAACATAACTATGTTTTTTGGTTGTTTTCTTTTTTTTTTTTTGGGGGGGTGGGGACAGTGAGGAGAGAGCAGCGGGCCCTAATAATAGTTCCAACATGCTGCACACCAGAAATCTTAACCTAATTCATTTGTAATTATAACTGATAAAGCCCATCTGAAGGTTTAAGCTATTTTTATGTGTCTATTATATGACTGTCTGGAAACATTCATTTCTAACTACAGCCTGTACTGTGGAGTAACTCTGAGGTTCACCTTTCCTAAATAAATAACACTCGCTAGCTTTTATGGTAGCTAACGCCTTTTGGCTGGGCTTACCTTTCCTTTTCTGTGCCATGAATTGCGCTTTATTGTCAAATGCCACCAACATATACGTCAGAAGGCTGATCTATTAAGATTTCTAATCTTCATTGGAGAGAATCAGCTTTTCATCACACAGAGAAACCAATTCCTATCTCTTCTCCCTTTAGAAATTACACTGTACAGTAGAAAGGCTCCAAGTCTCTCCTGTTTAATGGCAAATTGGCTCGGGGCAGCAGTAGTACTAGTTCTAAAATCATTAAGTGAGCTGCTGCCAATGCATCTTTCACAGTCAAGCTGTGGATAAATGGAAGGTGAGATTGTCAAGGATGGGGTTCAAAGTCACCAGTGAGTCCTGTCCTCACCTTCTTCCTTTTTGGAGAATAATATTATTTCCTCTAAGTACTATATACATTTTCCAGGTCGAAGAGAAAGGTCTGTGATGGAAAAAACAGAAAAGAATTTTTATCTCTAAAACAATCAACTTCTCTCCCTACTCCCCCTTCCCCAGAACTAAACTCCATTAGGAGTTTGATGTGGAGGTTTGAGATTTGTAACAGCTCCTGGGATGAGAAGGAAGGAGACCTAACAGGAAGAAAAATGGTGTGTGTTTTTGGTGAGGGGAGAGTGGGATGGCAGACATTTGTGGCACCAGCAATATTGATCCTGAGGCAAAGGTACCCCTCAGAATTCCCAGGTTGCAAATGACTATGTCTTTCCCCATCATCATACCCCATTAATTGAAATAAGCTCTCTCCTTGAATCACAGGCCTGCTTCTACAGCAGGTCAGCAAAAAAATATTGACAGAGAGTTGGAAAAACAACCGTTCCAATGGAGGCATGGCAAGCACTCACTTCTCTGTGGCTGCTGTGGATCACAGTCCAAGTGAGGAAGATGAGC